CCAAATGATTCGGAATCGCTATGTATGGCCTTGGCATCAGTATTTTTTAGTGCTTCCTTAGAAAATCTAATGTGAAATTGGGAGTGAAAACCTATAATAAACACAACATAATAATTTATGTATTCATCTACTCATTCCACAAATTCTAATGACCAATCACCATATGCTCATTGAGAATAAGACGACATTTCTAAAAGAGCTTAGTTACTTCAGGCAAAGAATAGACAAATCAATAAATCCCATGTGAAATACAAGCAAGTTATAGGATCCAGAGGAGAAAATAGTTTGTCAACAAAGGATTTACCCAGCCTTTATTCATTCATTTATATAAATATTTGGGTATCTATAAGATTTCGCCATGAAGATAAAAAGAAAAAAAATGGATACATTCAAGGAAGTATAAGGATATACAAAGAAGAAAAAAAAGTATAACTTAATATCATACTCACTAACATGCAAGTGTGACTAGGGTATAATAGGTATACCCTCTAGAGTTAGAGAATATAGTACCAAGCTGCTGACCTTGGAGCTAATATAATATAAAACTTGAGTTGCAGTCAAGTTTCAGTAGAGAAAATAATTAGTATTTCAGTCAGATGCGGTAGTATATGCCCACAATCCCAGGGACTGAGGCTGAGGAAGGAGGATCACAAGTTTGAAGCCAGTGTGGACAACTTAGTGAGATCCTGTCTCAACATAAAAAAATTAAAAAGGGTTGGGGATGTAGCTCAGTGGTCGAGCACTCCTGGATTCAATTCCCACTCCCCCTAATGTCCCCAGCTTAGGATTCTACAAAACTGCTTCTTAAACATTAATGTACTTTACATACAAACCACCTGGGAATCTTGTTAAAGAGCTGATTCTGATTCAAAAGGTGTGGGGTGGAGTCTGAGACTAAGTTCCTACATTATACTAATGCTCCTGAATCACATACAACAATTTAAATGGCAAAATTCCTGAGGAAAATGAGTTTCAAGAGGGAAAAGATAATTTCCACAGCAGATAGACCACACACACACACACACACACACACACACACAAATTAGAAAATCCCATTTGATTTGCCTGCAGATCGCTTTTATGAAAGTAATTTCAGTCAAGTGATGGAAGGAAAGCCAGAAGATATGGACTTAGAAAAAATGAAAAAGTAAGGAGGTGGGACAGGAAATAAAATAGAATGCTTTTCTTCCTACTCTCAAATGTTAGACAGGCTTAATTGTATTCACAAGCTGAGGGAAAGGACCAGTTGAAAGGAGAAAACTGAAGGCAAGGGAGAGGATAGTCCCTTGTGAATGGGGAGAGAGATTCCTTCATTTCAAGCACAGAAGGAGGTGTGAATTGGTCTAAAAGGGTAAGAGGAAAGAGAAAAGAGTAAGAATTGAAGAAGTTTCCTTTTATTTTATAAAACAGGAAGCTAGGTGATGTGCTGAGAGTGAGCTGGAGGTTTGATGTAAACATTGTGGGGCATAAGATAAGCACAAGTGGCACAGCTGAGGCTGGAAACTAAAACTCCACTTGTACGCAGCTATGTGATTCTGTTGAACAACATCCATAGTCAAGATATAGGCATATCAAAATGGGTTGAACAAGAAAGAAAGATAAATTGACAAGTTTTAAAAAATAGAGGAGGCAAGGGAAATCCTAGAAAAATCAGAATAGGTATAAGGTTACCTATTCCATAAGGACAGAGTCAGGGAAAGTTTTGGATTTTCCCTTGAACCCGTAAGTACTTTTCAAAGACATGACCAGAGACATTGAGAATACATTATTAGGGGAAGATTCTACTGTATTTTTTTGTTGTTTTTGAAAATTACATTGTCAAATACCATTCTCCAGCTTAAATATTATGTACTCAGTAAAACTGCTTGTAGGTTTTAACATCCAAAGTGATAAACAACTTTAACAGATTCCAGATGTTTTCTTACCAAAAGAAGCAATACCATAAATTTTCAGTAAAAGTATACTTTTGAAGAGCTCCTTGCCTAAAGGGCTGGTAGGCTAGTCTAGTCTCTGATCCCACTGCTCAAATAAGAAAATTACCGAAGGATAACAGAGTAAGTATTTCAAGTACATCCAAATGAAAGTTTGTATACATCCAGAACACTGATTTGAATAGATAATGATTTCACACTGACCTCTTTTTCTGACTATACCCAATGTAACTCAAACTAAACAGTGAACTTCCTTTAGATATAATTATTCTTTTGCCACATTATAATTTTTTAAAACTTGGGAGTTTCTTGATTTTTGTTGTTGTTTTTTTATTTATTTTTTTAACTATAAAATTAACTCCAGAAACTTAAGCAATACTGAAGCTGATATAACTAACAAAAAGTACTAACGGTTTTGGAAATTTTCTGAACTTAAAAATATGTGATCATGAGATAATCATGGAAATTTCTAGAACAGAAAGAAAAACTGAATTTTCTCTTAAAATCTATATTTTCTCCTCTTGTCTGAACTCTTTTATTTTTTTTTTTTTTGTTTCTCTTTGTGGGTAGGAGAGGTAGGATGAAGGAAAGAGAGAAAAGTATTTCAAAGTTGAAAATATGGGGTGAAGAAAAGAACAGTTTTAAATAAATGTTTGCACTACATTTTATAGGTTCATTTTGCCAACTATTTTATTCTAAAAGATAAAATCAAATAATGCCTACAATGTTCATGTATTTATCTAAATTTTTAAGTCATCTTGGGAGTTAATTTTCTCATTTAGTTTACTTTTCTTGGTAGACCCTTAAACTATCTGAATATAGTTCCTTTCAATACAATGAATACACAAAATACTCATGCAGTTAATGTTATCTGATTTTAACTGTGCAAATTATTCTCACCTATAAAAAAAGGAAAAATTGTTAACATGAGTGGATACTACCAAGACATTCCTATGTTAAGAATTATCATAAAACTAAGCTTCAAATGAGATTGAGAATATTTCTTATTATTTAAATCCATGTTCATGCAAATTCTATAAAATGGCAAGTTCCTTAGTTCAGCTCACACCATCTCTCAAGTGGATTTACTGAAAAAGCTTTCAAACTTGCTCCTCCATTCTCCCCTCTCATTATGGACCAAATGTTTGTGCCCCAATTCATGTAGAAGCTCTAAACCCTATTCTGATGCTAAGTGCAGGTGGGGCCTTTGGGAGCTAATTAACTGTACACCCCCATGATGAGATCAATGTCCTTATGAGAAGAGGAAGAGACACCAGAGCCCTCTTTCTCTGTCATGTAAAGTCACAACAAGAAAGTGTGAATAGGGTCCTCACCAAGAAACAAACTGGCTAGCACTTTGATTTTGATCTTCAGTGTCCAGAGCTGAGAATAAGCGTCTGTTGTTGAAGCCACTAGTCTATGGTATTTTATCAGTTTCTTTAGCAACCCAACACACCCTTCCATAAATTCATTCTCTCCACTAAATACAATTTCAATGTATCATTCACCTGTAAAAACTTTTAAATGGCCCCTACTAGTCTCCCAATCAAGATCATGTTTCTACATCTAGCCATCAATGCTGTGTTTGCTCATTAGGCCATATAATAAGAGGATCGTTTAAGGATAACCCTTTGTTTTAAAAATGAACATATTTTGCAAAATGTAATCTCTTAATTATTTGTTATTAAGCAACCAATTTTATAAAGACTATTATGAAAGTTACATGTAAAATAAGCTTTATTTAGTTTTTATGGAAAACTCAGTTTTGCCAAATTATAATTTACATTAACTACTGCATATGTAAGTATTTTAAGTTACACAAAAACCAAGAAGACATAGTCAAAGGCCTAAGGAGCATTTAAATATAATATAAATAAGTATGTGGTTTATTTATTTGAAATTTAAAGGTTTTGTTCTATTATAAACTTAATCTTTAAAAGTCAGAAGACACACTGCCTTGAGTGAGAGAGAAAAAACATTACACATCCTTGATTATACTGATGATTTGACTAAAAGTTAGAGAGTCAATGGGAGGCTCTAGCTCCATGTATGTAGAAGCATCTATCTGATCACTAATATCTTCCCTCAGTTTGGCCCAAAGTTAATCTATATTAAACTATTCAACAGCGATTACTTGACTGCCAGGTGAATGAGGCTGGGGGGAAAAAAAAGAGATAATTAAATACCATTTCTGAATGCAAAAAGTTCTACCTTCAGGGAAAATTCCTAAGAATCACTTTTGTTTCTGGTTACAAAAATAAAACTGAAGGACCTCTGCAATGAAAATTTGCTTTTTTTTCCTACATGAGGTTGAAAAATATAATAGAAAAAAAGTGTTATTTATATGTAGTTACATCTATCTTACCCAAATGTAGACCATCTGAGGAAAACAAATACCATTACTTTCATAAAGCAACATTTAAAATGTATACCATTAAGTGTGATCACAGAATCATAAAGAGGAGTTTTTCAGTTGAGTTGAATTTCAGAAGAATAAAACATTGAGTCACAAAATCCAACAAAATTTTACCATCCAACAGTGAATTCCTCATCATTTACTGAAATTTCTTTTACGATACTACTGAGATTAGGAGGGGTATGTGGTATTTGGTAAATCAGACCTGGAAATACACTTAAGAATATTTTCAGGCCCACACACTTTCTTCACCAATTTTGAAAAATTTTAATCACTTAAATTGTTTGAGGATGTCTCTCTTCTTTCTATGAAAATGATTCAACTATTCTCGTTGGTATTAAACAAACACAACTTTCTACATCTAGCTAATACATTGCTTTCCCTACATATAAAAGTATACAGAGCCTTTCCACAAAGGGATCAGAGAAAAATGAAGTGGAATTTGACTCATGGGACTATTATTGCTGAACAGACTTTCTTTAAGCCTAGTCCATTTTCTTTGAGGCCCCTAAATGGGACAATTTGCACAACTGTTACATTTATTAAACATTATGATATGGCAGTTTGAAAAAAATATATAAGTTTAGTAAAGGACTCAGTCAAACCTAAAAAGACAAAAAACTCTAATAGCCAGAGCACAACAATTGACTCACCTGCGGCTGACTGATTTCTTCTCCACTTCTCCCTCTCCAGTTGATTTCACATTTGCATTTGTGTCCTTTTTTAACTTTTTTGCAATTCTTTCTCTCATCAGGTATTTTTCATCACCATCAATGTATTCATCATGCTCAGCACTTTCATCTCCATCCTGCAGAAATTGAAACAGAGTATTTGTCAGTCATTTAATTTCCCCTTTTCTTCAAGGAATCTATCTCAGACTCTCTTTATTGCATTCTCAGCCAGCTTTGTGTTTTGAACTAGTTAAAAGCTTGAATACTCCGCCCCAGGTGGGAATGCCCCTAGGGTCTGCTCTAGGCCAACTACATAACCCCAGAAAGGGTTGTATGCTCAATTCATATCTAGTTCCTCTGTACTGCATAGACTACTCAATCTATATCACCAGGGATATTGTATCTTATCTACATTCCTATTCTTCTCCCAATGGGAAAGTGGTTCTGGAAGCAGTTGGCCAGAATAGACCTCAACCAGGGAATTAATTCAAGTAGAGGAGGTATAATGCAGAAGCTGAGATTTATTCCTATAATCTAAGTCATAGAAATTAATTCTCTCCTGAAAAACATGCAATGGATTCCCAACTTACTCAAAACGCTTCTCTCCCTGACATAATTTAATGTTCTATAACTGCAGCCCAGGAACACTAGCCAACTTTGGAGTTATTCTCTAACTTGCAACTCATATTCTAGGTATCTGCATCGTTTGCCTTGTTCTCTCCTTCAGCTCTTTGCTCATATACAACTCTCTCTGTGATGCTTTTCTTGATCATCCCATTAAAATGGCAGAACCAACCTCCCACTTCCAGTGCTCTTCATTACCCTTCCCTGGCTAATTTTCCAAAGCACTTAGTATCTATGTGTTTATCGTCTCTCGACCAATTAAGGAAAACATTCCATGAGAGCTAAAATTCTGGACTGTTTTGCTTACTGCTATATCTTTGATTTCTAGAAGAGCTCCCAGCATTAATAGAGGGAGCAGTGAAGAGAAGGAGAGGGGAGAGAAAGAGAAGGAAGAAACTATATCAAGTTTTCCTTTTGTGATTCTTTGATCTTGTGATTCATGGTGAGGCACGATTCTTAATTTGAGGCTTGTGAATCCCTACATCAGTGAGTGGTCTTCAAAATCTGGTTCTCAAACTACTTACATGGCTATTTGGGGTGGGAGGAGTAAAATCCTAGTCCTCATTGCATTCTTTTCGGGATAGAAACTGTGAATGTTTTAGCAAGATGTTTAAATTCTTAAGCACTGAAAGCTGATAATCACTGACATATATGTGCCTTGCTTAGGCCTCAGATCTAAAACACACACACCCTGCAAAGACACACAATTTTATTTGTGGATATAGTACATTTTCCTGGGAAAGGACTCCTAGATTGAGTCATTTAAAAGGAACACATAACAGTTTAGAGATAGTCTGAGAATCCTCTCTTTTGACTATAGTAATAAATAAATCTATATTCATAAATGGAAAGTTATGTACTTTCCATTGAATTATACAATGCACAGATCAATGGGTTTTTATATAAAGTACCATATGGATAATTAGAAAAATTTTATTTCATACATATTAAAAGGGCACCTTCCTTCTATTTTGTTAATTTTATTCGCCAGTGTAGCTAATAAAGATCACTAGAGTCTTATATGACAATCTTCTGAAATGTCTGTATAAAAAGGAATACTGCTACAAACAACTGATGCAAGCATTTCCCATATGTCATGTCAGATGCTCACCCATCCACCTTTAAACTATTAACATAATAAACCAAAATTACAACATCTCATTCATGTAATATCACTGAGGAGAAAAATCAGGATAGAAAATCAAATATATGACTCAACTTTTGTAAGAAAACAACACATATATTTGGAAGAAAATATTCTAATATCAAAATATTACAATTTTTATTTTTCAAAATTTTCAATACCTTGCATGTAAAATTATAAAAGTAATATATGTTACTTTTTTTTAGTTCTAGGGATAAAACCCAGGATTTAGTACATGCTAGACAAGCACTCTGCCGCTTAGTTACATCTCCAATTCTATGTTATCTTTTAAAGGAAAAAAATTAATTTTTTGTAAAATGTAAACTTTCTACAAATTGTTCAAGCCATATATGTACTAAAATTAATACTCACATCATCTAAATCTCCTGTTGCATCACCTTTTTCACTACAAAAAATAAGTAAAACAAATAAGTTTTAGCTTCAAAGTGAAACAAATAAAATTATTTAAAAATTAAAAAAATTAGAATAGTTTGCAGGGATTAATGTTCCAAAATTTATTTCATCATAGGAATCTCAAAATGGCACTCTACAGCAGATGATTTTTAATAAAATGAATAAGAGGTATGCTACATTAACAGATAAATGATTCACTGGAATTTTCTTTTCTTTCTTCTTTTTTTTTTTAGAGAGAGAAAGAGAGAATTGTTTTTAATATTAATTTTTTAGTTTTCGGCAGACACAACAGCTTTGTTTGCATATGATGCTGAGGATTGAACCCGGGCCGCACGCATGCCAAGCGAGCGCACTACTGCTTGAGCCACATCCCCAGCCCAGAAATTTTATTTTTTAAAGCAAAAGCCACCAACGAACTTTTTTTAATGAACAACTAACTGTAGAAAATAATTTTTTTCTATTAACTTGCAGTATTCTGGCTAAAGAAACCTAATTCTTCAAATAAAAGAATGTTAAGAAAAGAACGTTTTGAAATAGGACTTTTGAAAATGAATTAAACTCAATACAATGCTATTTTAGCTCCCCATTTTGAGACACTGGCCCAATAATCATGTGCAATTGTATCTGACACTAAGCAATATCTTTGCAAAAAGAGCCAAGAAAGTAAGACAATTTTCTGTTAATCTCTAAAAGGATGTGAGAATTTACACTCAGTGGTATGGCCCAAAATATGGTGACTTCTTCACACTAACCTTTCAATCTTGATTTGTTTACCCATGACACCAACCAATATAAAAATGTTTCAAATAAAAAGTTAAAAACACAACTTAAACATTAAACTTTCTGAGCAAACAGTTCCAAGTATTCAGATTATTCTAAGATTTAAAAGTTTGAGAATTAATTTTAAATGTAATTAATTCAACAAAGTTAGATACCGAGAAGAGTGAAAGTGACTACAGTGCTTCTCCATCATGCTAGAAGTTCTTCTCTACCTCCATTATTAAAATGTTTATTTTGGCGGGGAGGAGTTGGGTTTTTAAAAGTTTGACTTATGAGATCTGAGCATTTGCTGACAAAGGAAACAAGAAAATGATCTGAGCCTGAAAATAAGAACTTAGGATCATACCATCACCAGACTAACCTTTCAACAGCTGGAACAGAACTGAGATGCGGATCATTCTTAAGCAGGTCATGACTGCTTTTGCTTTTCCCCTTCATGCTCTGGAAAAAAAATGTATAATACCACCATAAGCAGAGAAATAAACAGTCTTGCAAAAGTACAAATATACACAAAATCTAGTACTGACACAATGTGTTTGGCAAAAATAAGTTCCTGATAAGTTTGTCATGGGGCTGGGGTTGAAGCTTAGTTGCAGAGCACTTGTCTAGCATGTGTGAGGCACTGGGTTCAATCCTTAGTACCACATATAAATAAATAAATAAATTAATTAAAGGTCCATGGACAACTAAAAAAAAAAAGTTCTGTATACATTAAAGCTTTAGAAATAAGAATTTCAAGGCTGGGGTTGTGGCTCAGTGGTAGAGTGGTCACCTAGCATGCTGAGGCACTGAGTTCGATCCTCAGCACCACATAAATGTAAAAGAAAGATATTGTGCCCATTTAAAACTAAAAAATAAATATTAAAAAAAAAGAAAAAAGAATCCCACCCTTTCATTGACTGAAAATACTATTTTAAAAACATCTTTTCAGGCTTTGGTTGTAGCTCAGTGGTAAAGCGCTTGCTGAGCATGTGTGAGGCACTGAGTTTGATCCTCAGCACCACATATAAATAAATAAAATAGAGGTCCATCAACAACTAAAATAAATATTTAAAAAACAATCTTTTCTTCTGAAAAGTGACACATCATTAAAACCAAGTCTATTAATTACCAATTTTAAGCACTAAATCCCCATCATAATTCACATACAACTAAAATCACTAATTTATTATGACTCATATTAAAACTTAGAAGATCATAAGAATAATTAGAAATAAATACGCACAAGTATTCTTCAAATATACCATCTATAATGCACAGAATTGTATTTTAAAAAATACTCAAGTAACCAGATAAGTACATCCATGAGATACTATTTAATAAATGGAAAACAGATAAATAAAGAACCTCTCAAGTATGGGAATATTCATCAGGAACTAATGTTTTTCAGGTGCTTTAGTTTGAAAGTTCATGTTCTCAATAAATTTACATTTTAGCATAAATAATTAAGAAGAAACATCTATAGGAATAGTTACTACAAGAAGTTACTATAAGAAGTACAACTATAAAATAACTACTACTGTTGTCATCAGTCTTATTTATTCATTTATTTATTTAGGTATTAGGGATTGACCCAAGGAGAGCTTTACCACTGAGCTACATTCTCAGTCCTTTTAATTTTATTTTTTGCTGAGGGCCTTACTACATTGTCAAGGATATCATGGAACTTGTGATTCTCCTGCTTCAGCCTCCAAATTGCTAGGATATCTGTGCCAGACACTGTGCTATAAATAGTATTTCTATCCCTCACTTCCTCTTTCCTCAAATGAAAGGATAAGAGATGATTATAAGCTATGCTACATAGATGCTTAAGATTAAGTAATTTACTAATGGAAACAAAGCTAGTAAGTGGAAGAGGATCTAAAAAAAAAAATCAGTTCTGTCTGGCAATAATATATAAAAAATTCATGTGTTTCCATTTTTTTTTTTTTTTGCTACAGGTCCCTATGGATCCAGAACACTGGCCTTGTTTCAGAGCATTCTTTGTGCCTTGAGGTGGAAGCTGCTCACCCTACCCCACAACTAATTAAATAAAAGTGCACAGTAGGAGGTTATAATTGACAGAAAGAATAATTTCTATTTATTCTGAAGAGGAATTTTATGTTGAAAAGTTCATTACAAAATATGTTAACTGCATATTTAAAATGCCTAGATTCAAAGAACTGAAAATACCTTTTTCCTTTAAGCCCTCTGTACCACTATTAATTTTGAGAATGGGCTCTTAAATTTGTCAGGTTTTACTCTGAGGTGGACGTATACCTTAAGAAATAACTTCCATGATAAAAATAACAGATTTTTAAATTTCTGCATTAACATAGAATTCCCCACATTTTAAAGATCCAATCAAAACATGTTTAGAGTGCAGTTTTACCAGACAAAATAAAACAAAAAAAAAACTTTCTCAAAGAATTAATCTAAATATACTATTATTTGCAGTTTTAAAAAGATATACAATCTGAGTTAGGTAATTAATTATGTATTTTTAATCCTATAACCTTATATAAAACTAAGAAGTGATAAAAAGAAAAAAAATGTAAAATAATTGCTTGATAATGTTTGTCCAACTATAAAAAATGGAACAAAAGTTTCAAAAAACAGCAAGTGGTATAGTAAAAAGAACACAAAATTAAAAAATGGTAGTTGTTATTTCAAAACCTAATATTCTATAATTCTACAAGTTTTAGTCCATAATCTTTTGCCATTTTTAGAAACAGAATGACTTCATCAGACCTCCAAACATTTCCCTGCAAAATGGGAACAGCAGCCCTGTCTGTTTCACACAAGAATAAGAGATATATGCAAAAGTGTACAATGAACAAAATGTGACCTAAACTAGAACAAAACCTGAATATCATTTTGTTCAATGCTTTCTATCCCTAAAATTCCTTCCCCCTGTATCTCTGGACATCAGGTTGTCAACATCTACCCTAATAAATATACTCTTATAAATTCTCCCCACTTGACTCCCTCCTCACAATCATAAACACCACAGCCAGAGTTGGCCTCTGACCCTCTACTCCAGCCTCTTGGTTCACAGATCAGAAAATTACAGTTACCCTAATAAAGAGCAGGAGTAAGATTATAATTCAGGTCTCTAAACTCCTGTTTCATTAATGAGCTATACTATTTCACTTATTTGTAAATGTTAGTTTACAACTGTTCCTTTAATTGTGGTTATCCATTTTTTTTAAATGAGATACTGGCAGGTGTAGCTTAGTGGTACAGGGCTTGCCTAGCATACACAAACAGCAAAAAAATAAGGGCAGGAGACTTCTTATTGCATTGCTTTTTTAAAAGTGGCTAAGAAAGTTCATTTTAAATGTTCTCATCACAAAAAATGAAAATCATGTGAGGCAAAGCCTATGTTAACTAGCTCAATTTAGCCATTTCACAATGTATGCATATTCTAAGACATCATTTTGTACAGGATAAATATATATCAATTTTATTTGTCAGTTTAGAATAAGTTATTACTTTTTAAATAAAAGGTTCTTGTTTATCTCCCAAAGCGTACTTTAAACAGCTTGAGGGAAAAAGCACAAAACTCTTTTATACTAATTTAAAATAAAACCCAACAACAGGAAGAATCTGTGAACTAACCTGAATAATCATTATCATTTCAAATTTTAATTAGCTTTTTAAATTGAATTAGCACAGAAATATAGAATTAAAAGTAATTTTTTCAGATCTTCCTCTCTCTTGCATCCTGAAGGCAAAGAAAATAGATTTACCCAAAGAGGGTAAAAATGAATTTAAACTTTCTTTTTAATGTCTGTTCTTCCCGAGTCATCTAGTCTGAGTCTCTTATTTATGCCATTGAATAATAATAATTTTAAAGAAAGAACAAGCCCCCCAAAATATTTTTAAATGTTATAAAAGTTGTACAGAGAAAGCTGACTATTTAAAGGGTTTAGCTACTGGAAAAAAAAAATTTTAAGTATACAAAGTGAATTCATTGTGAGGAGCTCCACAGAAAACTCAAAACTGTCTGCAAGCAAATCTAAAAATGAACATCAAAAAAAGTAGGAAAATCACATTATTATCTTGAACTTTATACTAAAGAATAAAACAGTAGCAAAACAGAAGGAATTAAATGGAAGAAAGGAAGAAAGAAATAGAAGAAGGAAGAAGGGAGAGATGGAGGGAGAAAGGAAGAAAGACTGAGGATGTGGTTCAGGGAACAACACTGGCCAAGAAGTTAGACCTTGGCTTCAGCCTCTAATTCTGAGTGATGATAATATCATGTGGCAACCTGTCTAGGGCATAGTGTCCAATTGTTTAGCTAATACCAGTCTAGATAATGCTATCAAAATATTTTTAAATGTGATTAACATCTAAATCAGTAAGCTTTGAGATTACTCCCATAATGTAAATGAACCTCATTAATCAACTGAAGGCCTTAAGAAAAAGAAGATTCCCAAAGGAGAAACATTTCTACCTCAAGGCTGCAATATAGAAACCCTGCCTGAGCTTCCAGCCTGTGTATTTTAGACTCATTAATTATTCCTTGTGTCTCCAGTCTGCTGATCTACTCTATATATTTTATATTTGCCAGTTCCCACAATGACATGAGCCAATTACTGTAAACTCATAGGTAAATCCTCTCTCCCTCTCCCTCTCTCCCCCATTTCCCTCCTCCCTTTCCCCTCTCCCTCTCCTTCTTCTTCCTCTTAGTTAAAAATAAAGGAATTTTAGAGTCCACTTATTGTATTTTCCCACCTCATCAGAATCTCCTTGACCTAACTATTAACTGGTCACCCATGTCTCTCAGGTAAAAGGATCTCTCTCTCTCTTTCACTCCCACACACACAGACACACACACAGACACACACAGAGACACACACACACACACACACAATTATTTCTAAATAGTTACCATTAATGAAAAAATTCTCTAGCTGGAGAAAAAGGTTTATGTGTAATTTCCCACCATCCAACCAACCCTAGTTCTACCTTCTAGAACTATAAATGAACTACAAACAAGTCCTGTTATTAAGATATACTATGTAGAGTTTAATTCAGATAGAGACTGGAAGGCAGAATAATGGCCTCTAAAGATGTTTATATCATAATTCCTGGAACCTGTAAATATTACCTTACATGGCTAAAGAGACTTTGCAGGTATAGCAAAGATTCTGAAATGGAAAAATTATCCTAGATTATCAGAGTGGGTCCAATGTAATGATAAAGGTCCTTATAAGTGAAAGAGAAAGACAAGAGAATCAGTTTCAGGATGATACAATGAGAAAACTTTACCAGTCACTGCTGGATTTAAAGATGGAGGAAGGGGCTATGTCAAGGAATACAGGCAGTGAAGTTGGAAAGGCAGGGGAATAGATCCTCCCAGAGCCTCCTGAAAGAAGGCAGCTCAGTTACACCTATTGCAGACTTCTGAGCATCAGAACTGTAATACAGTTTATTTGTTTTGCTTCAAATTACTA